TGGGGCCCTGCAGCGCCGCGGGGCCCGGCCCGGAGGGCTCCCCGTACCCTTTTTTCTTCACTTTTACCCATTAAAATCAGCAACAAAACTCTCCCGCCGGCGCTTCCGCGCATTCCCATGTGCCCTCGTTGCCTTTTTAATTCTTCTCCCTCTTTTATCTCTTCTTCCTAATATAAAACGCCAAATTCTTCATAACATTCTAACTTTCAGGTCCCAGTTGCTGCAGTCTCAGTGTTCCAAGCGCCGGCCTTGGAAGTCTGTGAATGTTTGCGGTGATTCCTGTGTTAGGTTGTTAAAGCCCCCTTTTAGCAATAGCTAAAAGGCAGCTATTTACTTGATTTTTTTTTTCCCACCCCTTCACAGACGCAGAAATGTCATAACCGTTTAAATACCCTCTCCTTAAGAAGCCTTTCCTCAGTCTTTCCTGCTTCCAGCTGCAGTAACTCTCCTAAATTTTCCCAGAAGAGCGAGGTGCATTTTTGCTTCCCTTGGAAATGCATAAATGAGCTCTCTATGTACAACTCACAGCTGAGTTCTCCCCAGCTCGCGCCTTACAGAAGGACCTTATCTTGCAATCTACATTTCCCGCTGTAACAAAGCGTGACCTTGTTTTCATTACATAAAAAAATGTTTTTCATATAATTACTGTGACTTGTTCTGCTGCGTGAATCTCGGGTCCTGGTAATAATTGCTGCTTCAATTTCCAGATAACTATTTTTTGTGAGCTGGTGGAAGAGCACCAACAGAGTGCCCTTTAGGAGAGCTGCTGCATATAAGTAATGCTGCCCGCGGCGTAACAAGGATTCCGTTGTGCTCGACCACTGCCGAGCCAAGAAAACCTACTGGGTCACTTTGAGATATTGAATTTAAAGGAAATCAGTAATGTCTGGATGTATTTTTGTTACTATTTAGGTGATGATTTTTTTTTTAAATATTGAGTCAGTTTTTGAGAGATGCAAGGCACCGATGAAGATTTCCTGAATGTATTTTTGCAATAAATGTTATCTAAAGTATCTGAGTTTAAATTGGAAGGATGTTTTGCTCCAGTGAGGTGCCCTTTGAAAGGGAAGGGTCATTTCTCCATCTCAGTTGAATATCCAGTAATCAGTTCTGTTGACTTTTGGAGTTTCCTTGCTGTTGAAACTTGAGCTTTCCCGTTCAGTCTGGTGTCAAGAGTTTCTACTATCTTTGCAATTTGCTTCTAGGACTGAGCCTGACCTGCAGCTGCACAACATCAGGATGAACAACTATGTTTGGAGAGCTCAAGACCTCTAGATTTGGTCCTTCTCTAGGTAGTGGATATATGCAAGGCACCAGCTAGGGGTTGTTAAGTTGCAGTTCTGAAACTGAAATAAAAATTCAAGAGTCTGAAGAAATTAGGTAACCAGACACCATTTTGGGGGTGAAACCCCGCCTTTTTTTTTTCTGAGCTGCAGTTCAGCTGAACTTGTCCATATTCTATATTTTGCTCATCCTGGTTCTTTTGTAAAGAACTCTGGTAGCAGAGACAATCTCTGTGTTGTCTAAGGCCCGACCCCTAGGAAGATTTGAATGTCAGAAATGGGACTTCAAACCAGGCTGTTAAGTAGAGAAAGATTTTTTAAATTGAATTTGTAGTTATTGTCACTTCTCTGCATGCTTCCCCCAGTGTCCACGTCCGTCCTGCGAGGGGCTGCTTTGTAGTAGCTACATCAAGAAGGGGCTGCCAAGACTCAAGGATTCCTGGCTCCACATCTCTCTTGCTGTGTGACCTCGTATGAGTCATTTCCTCTTTCTGTCTGCAAGTGGAAACTGGAGAAATATTTATTTTCCACAGTGACGTTAGGATTTTCGTGCTTTGTGGAATGCCTTGAGATTCCTGACGGGAAGGTGGTGCAGGAGAGCAACGGTGGTTACGGTGTCCGTAATACTGTTGGAATCGAAGCGGTGTCGGTAGCTAAAGGGAAAGGGAAGCTTTTGCCCTAGATGCTGTGTGACAGTTTGAAAGCTCTTTGGGAATGTTGCCACCTTCCTGTTCTGCTGGGAAGATGCCTGGCACACCGGGATCCTGGCCTGTGGCTGAGAGATGTGATCACAGCAGGAGACACCAGTTTTCCCTAGGAACTTGCAGTCTGTGGCAGGAAAACCAACAGAGAATCCTATCCGGAATACACCGTGTCATTCCCGTTCTCTATCGCGGCATCTGTGTGAATTGGCCCTTTTGTATTAGATAAAACACAAACTCAGTGGTTTGTTCTTTTCCTTTCAGAGGTGGTGCAGAACTCTTGTTTGACGGTGTTAAAAAACATCAGGTGACCTTGCCCTGTCAACCAGAGCCTTGTGAGTATCAGAAATTTTTAGATAAGTCAAAAGAATGACAGCAAATGAAATTCATGTGCACAGCAATGATGGTTTGTACAGCAGTTTAGTTCGTTTGCCACTAGAATTACTGTGTTCTAAAAGCAATTTCAGCCATGTTATTGATCAGATCTCTTGGCAGTCGATGGTTGGTCCTCAAAGCAAATACAAAGCAGAAATCGTCTGAATACCTCTCCTATCCTGTAAGCAATTATGAAACAAGTCCTTCCTTAAGGCTTTTGCCTCCCCCCATCTGAACAAACAACAAACTCTGAATGTTTCCAGCAAATCTATGTTTATCTTGGCTGATTTTTAAAACCACCTTAATAGACTCTCCCTCCTCCCTGTTTTCCTTTTCCTGTTTTATTTCCAAAAGGCATATGCATGTGCATATATATATTACATACATGTGTGCGTGTGGACAGGAAAGTAGTATGAATATATTTTATCTACTTGTTTGACTTTTAAGTTTGTATAATTGTTTCAAATTAACTGTGCAGTTGTAAATGGCAAAACTAATGCTTGAACATGATGCTCAACATATTGTTTATAGCCTTTCCTGCAATAAAAAAATAAGATGCTGTTAAGCTAAAGACTTGAGTACCCCAGTGATGAACAGTGATAATTTCCATTTCGTGATTTGGAGTATCAATACAGAAAAGTGTTGTTCTAGCTCTCTTGTTTCTCCTTATGTGTATGCATACTTCAGTTGCAACATAATTTTGCTTCAGGTATGTTTCAAATTCTTCCAGCTAGAAACATTTTATGCTGTTAGAGAGCAGGATTATAGACTTCAAAATAATACAGAGCACCAGTGAATGTTAACAACTAATATCTCATGAATGGTTAACACCATAATCTACGTGTTATAAACATCGAGCCTGAAGTGTTCTGTCCAACCTGGTTAGTAGAGATTGGTCCAAACACTTTTGATGCTTGGACATAAATATGTGTAATTCCAGTGTGATCGAAGCACTGAAATAGCGTGTTATCTTCTGGTTAACAACAAGGACTGTGAATCCAGAAACTTGATTTCCACCCTTTGATCTGATGCTGATTTGCTTTAGTGCATTCAGTCGTGTTGCTTCATTTTCCCCTGTCTTAGTAGTGATATTCTCATGCACCACAAGAGAGTTCCAACGTGGAATTCTAGCACTATTAAAGTACTTAAGATCCTTACATGGAAGATGAAGTGCCAAAACACTCATTTAGTTGACTTTTAAACTTGCTGGGGGTGGGAGGCAGAGTATCGTTTTCTTTTGTGCTCTGTAAGCTTAGGCTACTCAGACACCCACTGCATTGGTAGCATCCAAACCACGCTCGGATACTCGGGGTTATTACAAGAGCTGTTTATTTCTGTCAGGGGAAGGGAAGAATTACAGCCAAAGAATGATTCTTCTGAGACCTGATGGAGGTCCCAGGTGCAGTTGTATGTGGCCTAATTCATTCCCATTTGAAGCTGATGAGAAAATTTCTATAGATTTCACTAGAAGCTGGATTTATCCTAAAGACTAAACCTCTCCCGGACGATCTGCTTTTCTCTCAGAGTTCAAACCCAGGATCTTCAGTGGTTTATTCCAGATTGCTCTAACAGATTATTGCTTCTGGTTGTTCATGCTGCCTTGTTTTTCAGGCGCTGCTATCCCTGTAACAGGAGCTGCACAACGGGCAGTGCGTCCACTTTTGAGCTCCCATGATTGAGAGTCTGGTGTTTTTGTGCGTGTTGAAGGACAGGTTGGTTTCAGTTTAGGACTGGTTGGGGATTGCAGGAGGAGCAGGCACTGGATTCTGCAGTTCCTGCTACAGGGATAGTTACATCCAGCACAAGGGTGAGCAGTCAGACACGGAATTAATGTCTGAAACTGCCCCAAAACGGATCATTGGAGCAATCTGTCCTAGTATTCCTGCTAATTGTATTGTAGAGCTGAGAAACCACTGAACTGGATCAGAAATGCAAGCAAGCAACTGGTAAATCAGGGCAATTTTGTAGTGTACCTCGTGCTATCTTCACTCACAGTAAGGAATTGCAAGTCATCTGTCTGGGTAAATAAAGATATATCTAATGGCAGGTATGATCGTTGCTGTCCTCGTGCAGCCAGGATTACCCTGATGAGAGAAGCAGCCGCTGAGCCGTGTGCTCTGCGGTCGGCTCCTTGCTCACCCTGTGTGTTCATCAGCTAGCACTCTGGGGAAAGACCTCTAGTATGAATACTGCTTGAAGACATGCACTTATAACCCTATTTTAACTGATTTCATTAGCTGTCAAGCTTATTTTTGGCAGTTTTGGCCTCTCTTACCCACTCTTCCTTTCTTTCTAGATTATTTTTGTCTTTGTCCTCCTTTTTGCTTCTCTCTGGGACAATGGGCCCACCTATTTTTTAATTGTTTAGGCATTTTAAAATGTATATCCTGGAGGTGAATGGAGATAGAAAATTACTGCACAAATACCTACAAAGACTTGAGTAAAACAGCCTGTGGTGCATATTTGACAAGGGCAGCGTTCTCTGAATGACAGTAATGTTTTAACAAATTAGTGGGTGCTCATTTCCCTAATTTCCCGATAACAGACACTAGGTGGAAAGTGGGTGGATTCGAAATCCAGTTAGCTTTTTTTGAGAAGATTTGTTCCTGTGTCCTTTTCTGGTGCCTGGAGACAAGCTCCTGGGGGGATTAGGAAAGGCAGAAGGAAGGAAACTGCAAATGGGACCAGAGCAAGTCCCCAGGGGTTCAGCCATGTGGCAAGACCTATTTTTGTTATCCAGGGGCCTCTTTGTATCCTTACAACTGTCAGCAAAGCAGCAGTTCCTGATTTCCAAAGTGGAGCTGGTTTAGCCCGCGTGTTTAAGTTGCTGCCAGCTAGGAATTTAAAAGGGTGTGATATATCTGTCTGGGCATATAGTTTTACATAAGCCATACTTTATGCAGGGCTGTGTAATCTGTTTGCAAAGGAAGACCTCCAGTTAAACAAGAATCTTTTCCCAAATTGCTGAATATTTTGATGATCTCATTGATAATGTTGTCAGAGGATCTAAAGGCACTAATGCCCCGTTGGCTTATTCTGCATAAAAACTGTGTGTGTGTGGGAGAGAGCAGCAGCGGGAATAACGATATTTGTCACATGGAGAGAGGATTAAATTGGCAGGGAAATCAACTTTATTTTCAAGCATCTAAGAGGCTATTAGAGACAATGGAGCATAAAAGAGAGAAACCCTAAATTAAAAACTGAAAATGTATTTGGCAGCCTCCTCCTGAAACAAGCCACAGTAATTTAACCAAGTGCTTCAGTAATCAAATAGATCATTGTATGGCTGCTCTGCAAGCCATGTCGGAGCTCCTTCCTCCATCTCGCTGGGGCTCACACTGCTGGATTTGTCTGTGGCCCCGCGAATTGCATTGCCTCTCTTGGAAGGGTAGGAAAAACCTGGCGTTGTTTAACCCTTGTGGTGGTAATTTTAGGTGTAGCTCAGCGGGGTGGTGCTGAGAAGGGTGTTTCCAAGGCCTTGCTGCCGCGCTCTCCGCTGCGTGCGCGAGGGGCTGGCGGTTGTGCTGCTCGGCCGCGGGTCCAGGCCTCCCGATTCCAGCTCCAAGGGAACTGCTCCCGCTGTTCTGGTGATCGGCCTCCTGGTTTTGGAGCAGCAGTCACAAGTGTCAGCAGCCATCAGGGATCGCTCGGACCGTCTGGAGCAGGCAGGAATTCGCTGTGTTTTCTGGCACTCGCAAGTTTGCAAGGATGCATTTTTAATCAGTGTGATTTGGTAGTTGCCTGTAGTTTCCCTTTACCAAAACCACAGGGAAAAAAAAAACATTGCTAATCAGATCTTTATTTTTTTTTAGAGGGAAATTAAAATAATCTGAGTGCTGCTTATGTGCAAATCCCTGTAGAGCAGAGCATGGTCTGCTCCTCGGGAGCTCGGCTTTCCAGAGGCCCCGCTCTGTGCAGCAGCATCTCGGAGAAGAGCTGAGGGATCTTGAGGGATCAGACCTATGTTACAGGCAGGGATTTAAAAAATACAGCGCGTGTTCAGGATCGCCTGGGGACCTCTGCCAAAGCAGTGTGTAAAATCAGGAGTGAAAGTTGGCATCGGTTGCCTGGGAATGCCCAGGACTATTGCTGGGTAGTATTTAGCAGTTGATAAGTTATGGCTATTCTGTAATTTTATTGCTGTGCTTATTATTCCTAGTGTTTTTTTTTTTTTTTAAGAAAAAAGGAATAGAAATATTTCTGGTAGTGAAGCGACTTATTGGAAGGGCAATAATAAAACGTTAGTTGAAGGAATTTCCTGCAATCCAGTCCTTTTTAACCACAGTGTATGGCACTTGCAGCTCTTGGAGGGCTTGGGTTCTTCCCTACTGGTGCATCTCTCTCGAGCAGGTAATTGAATATTTACTGGTGAGGAAAAGGGATTTGGGAGTTACCCGGGACGGGACCTCGGCCAGAGGCAGCGTTGGGCCCTGGACCTGCTGCTCCCTCCTGCAGTCCACGAGCGCAGCCGGCTCTGCGGCCCCGCGATCCCGGCTGCCAAAGCAAATGAGATCCTCGCGGAGCGATCCCAGCGCCCTCCCGGGAGCCCCGGCAGCTCATCCCGACCCGTGGTGCAAGGCGCTTCCCGGCAGGGCCAAAGCGGCTCCCGCGCGCCCACGAAGCCGCCCTCTCCCGCTGCTTCCCGGCCGCCCTGCGGACACCTCTCCGGATCACCCTTCCGCGCCGCCCCCCGCCCCGCTCCCGCTTTTCTGTCGCTGGGATTTGCGGTGCCGGCGCTGCGGAGGATCCGGGCCCTTTAAACCGCTTAGCATGCGGTTCACACGGCTCCGGGCCAGCTGTTCCTTTCTCCTGCTGCCCTCACTCGCAGGAGTTGTTTGCTGAGCTCAGAGCTCCTGTGCAAAATTGCTTTTCAAAAGAGCCACTTTCTGCTTAATTAAACAATGAGCCGCCGTCCCTCTGCACATCTGTAAAGCTCCCTCTGCAGCCCCTTTATCCCACA